CTGTGGGAGCGCGGGGGGCCATGGGTCTCGCTGGACGCATGGACCAGGCGGCTGCGAGCGGAGCGGGGCGGCAGCAGCAGCGCACGGAGCTGCCGCGGCCGAGCCCTCCGCGGGCCTCGACCCAGGCGCGCTCGCGAGATGCGGTTTGGGGAACGCTGGATATTGCTGTGGGGAACCGCAGGGAGCCCTGGGTCCGAGCCCTGAGAGAAGTTTGTGGTGAAATGCAGCGTCTCCAAGAATCGGGGATTAAGCCGTGACATGAGAACGACACGTTAATCATAGAGCCTCTCCAGGGGGGGTTATTGACATTGAAATGAGCCCGATTTGTGTCTCGTCTGGGAATAGAAGGCCAGCACTTTCCCTCTAAACATGTGCAAATTGCAGGAGCTTGAATCAAGGCGTCACTTGTCAGGAAAGAACTGCAAAGCCACCAAAGCATAGGAGCTGGCAGTTTCTTGTTGCTGTGTTTGGGAATGCTAAATCTGGACCAGTCATAACTTTTGCTCCTTTTTCCAGGCCATTTTCTTTGGTGGGATTGATATTTCCATCCGTGGAGAAGTGTGGCCCTTTCTGCTGCGCTACTACAGCTATGAGTCCACCTCCGAAGAGAGGGAGGCGCTGAGGATACAGAAGAGGAAAGAATACTTCGATATCCAGGAGAAAAGGTAGCCGTCCACCTTCATCCTCTGCTGCTCCTCCCTCCTTAGGCCTTAAGTGACATTAATACCACAACTGAATTGCAGTGACTCTGCCTCCTCCTTTCCAGGAGAGGTTGGTGGAGTGTGGAAGTGAGAGGGGTGGGTAAAGGAGGGGTCATCAGGCGTAGCTGGCTTCTTCTTGAGCTAATACTGTGTAACTCAAGTGGAATGTTACTTGGGCTCTTGAAAGAGGCTTGCCTGTACTGTAGAGAAAAACTTTCCTCATGGGCATGACCAGCAGCTTAACACGTTTGGGTCAACACATGGAAGGTGAAAAGGAAATCTTACACATCAAGGGGCTTGGACTAGACAATCTCTAAAGGTCCCTTCCAACTTTAAGGATTCTGTGATTGGATATAAAAATAAGAAAGAAAAGGGGGGTCTAATTCAAGGAAATTATTGCTGTAAAAATGTGAGTTTTAAACTAGTTGTGAGTAGATTTAAGCTGAAGAAAGATAGTGTTGTTAATTAGGAGATGCATGAAGCACTGAGTGCCGAGCTCTAGGGTGCCACCCACAAGGAGCAGCAGAAGGTCTGGCTGCTCCTGCAGCAGAACCTGACCGGTTTATCACAGGAAACACATCAGGTCATCCCACTGCAATCAAGGAGTTCCTTCTAATATTGCATTTGGATAGAAAATCTGTTTTTCTAGACAGACCTGCTGGTCTGGTGTTCTGGTGGTGAGAAATCTATGCAGAAAGATGAGTTTCTCTCTCAAATCTAAGGCTGTTTGTTCCTAGTGACAATCACATTTGTGTCACACACTCACCTTGCTGCTCTGTTTGCAGACTTTCGATGACTCCAGATGAACAGAAGGATTTCTGGCGTAACGTGCAGTTCACAGTGGACAAAGACGTCGTGAGGACTGACCGCAGCAACCAGTTCTTCCGCGGGGAGGGCAACCCAAACGTGGAAACCATGAGGTGACGTGTCTGATTCTAGTCTCCCAAACCCAATCTCCTGCT